GGCACTTTTGGCGTGTTATCCGCTATGCCCGACCATCCGACTACGCCGTAGGAGCTGGTACTGCGGCTGTTGGACCTGCCCTCTTCTGGTTATGGGAGAAAAAGTCCCCCGCCATGCTCCCTAAGGGTGCATTCGCACAGAGCATGCGCCTTGCCGGAGCCCTTGGAGTCACCGCTGGTTTCTTAAGATTCTACCTTGGATCATCCTGTATGCCTATTCCAGATATCTACAGTCTCCTCCAGACCAGTCCAAAAAAAACTGATATACCTTAAATCGGCAGTGCGCTTCTGGGGCTGGACCGAGAACCAACGGGAAGTGGACATGGATATGAAGGAAATGGTGGAAAAAGTAAAGAGGAAAGAGCCACTTTATGGAGAGTCTATCTTGACTCCGTACATGCAGGGAGTTGCCGCTCGCAACTCTCGATACTCCCAGGTTTTTTTCCATGTGTTGCCATGGTTCAACTTTGTCAACCACAACCAGGTGAGGCCTTCGAGTATCCCTCTTGATAAAGCAATTCCGCCTAACAACATTGATAGCACGGTGTAGACACGACCAAGTACTTTCTTGCTGCTGAAGAGGATCTGGAGAAAGAGCGTGTCCTCCGAGAAGGAAAATAGATATTCAAGCAACAAAGATCATTTCCCAACCAGTACAGAAATGTACATACTCACAATCTTGTAAAGAACGGTACCCTTTCTTATTATTTAGAACTCTTTCAGTAAATCCTGTAAGCTTTTACCAGCCTCACTACCATCCCACACAAACCTAGTATCTGTTCCACCAGTTGCTCCTGTAACAATGGACAATCCTACCCTGGTTGCCTCGACGCGGATTTTTCTTGTCTGTTTTTCAACATTCCTCATCTCATTTCCTTGGGCTATTTGCTGCCACTTATCGCCCATGCATCGGATTTCGTTTACAACACTTCGCTCCAAACACCAGCAAAGATACAGTTCCATCTCTTCTACTGAGCTAAACTTATTCTCACCCATTAATCGTGCAGAGACTCCGTCATGCGATGTGTTGATGGTGAATCCAGTCCCATACAACGGGTGTCCTAACATTGTCGACATTTGGATTTCAACCTTCCAGCCACCCGGCAACACAAGTGTTGCTTCGCTCTCTAATCTTCCCATAAACGTATCTACGGCAGATTCCACGTCCTTAATTTCGGGTTGTCGGCAGTTCTGTAAAGGCTTCAACGTGTATTCGCCGTGTAGACCCGCAGACTTTGCGATGCCAATTAAGGATTTAAGTAGGCCTTGCAAATGACTCAGGTGTTGATGGTGAATGAGATGTGTTGCAATGGGTCTTACCAAGAGAAGCGGAGGCACAGGTTGTTTTCTCGGGCTCAGTGCAGGTGGTGGCTTGCTTCGCTTCTTGAGACTCATTCTGTGATTATATGATAACAATATCCGAAAGGCCATTGCTACTCCTTGTGCCAACCCACTCTCCGGACTGTGAACATCGAGCGTCGTATCATCATCATCAAGAGGAGCCTGTATATTCATTAGGTTTTTCTACAGGTGACGAGAATCAGTGATAACAAACTCACCATATCTATTATGATGCTTCGGTGTTCCCCAAGTTGAAGTGTCACGCCGTCCTCGCTGGTTCTTATTCCCTGATTCGCCATGATCCTCGCCTCTCTCATAATTTCAAAGAAAAGTTCGTCCTCATAAACAAAGTTTCGTGCGCGCTCAATCACATCCTTAACGGATGTAGATTTCTTGTTTCCGCTCTGTACGCTGACTCCCTTAACCTCTCCGTTCTCTATAACACGAACTCTAAGCATCGCCTTCCCAAGGGACCCGGTGGTAGCTACGTCGTCCATTACAACGCTTCCATCTTCACCCCTTCTTAACGCCCCTATGCCCTTGCTCTTGTACTCTGCTGCCGATTCCGCAAATCCATATCTCACACCCAAGGTTTGTCGTTCTCGAGGTATGCGTGTTATAACCCAACCCTCGTCGCGAATAGCCAGAACTTGTTCCCAGTATCTGCTCTCCTTCTCGACCTCTCGTCCAAGCTTCTCAGACGCACTCAATAGGGCGTCTGCCGCCGAGTTTAAACCTTCCATCTTCCAAGCTCTTGAAACAATCTCGTCATCTTTGATTGCTTTCGGATCGGGTTTGCGCTGAATCTTATCGAAACCTAAACTACCAGTGGGCACGGCCTCTTTAAGAGCCGGAGACATGGTCAAATTGCCGGTCTCTGGATTATGCAAAGATACGAGAAAAGATATGTAATCAAGGCCCAATAAAGCTTCATTTAAAGCATGCCTATTTTCAAATTTACTCGATATTAGTGACTTTGAAGATCGCACTCGAAAAGCACTAAGCACGCACATACCCTACCAAAGCTGCCATCTTCACCTTCGCATTCCTCAGTTCCGTCGCGCTCTCTTGATCACCGGCTGTCTTATCCGCAGTACCTCCATTAGCTTTATTTTCGGGGTCGCCATGAAGCTCATCGTCCTGCGGCTCGTCTTTCCCGGCAGCTATCTCCTCCTCAAGTAAGCTTTCGTTGACATCGCGGAAATGGCCACGCTGAGCTTGTATTCTATTGATGAGAGACGAGACTGAGGTTTCTTCAAGATTCTCTTCCGGCCATGATTTCAATGAGAGTAAAAGTTGATCTGCATTCATCACTGCGTATTTCTTACTCGGTTGGCGGGTACTTTGGCGTTCTTTGGGTGTGCTTTGGGTGTGCTTTGGGTCGCAAACTGAAGTGGGAAACGTTGAAGACCTGAGCTTTATGCGGAGCCGCACCTAATCCTAAAATGGAAATGACGGCTCGCTCCGTGAATCTCACCATCCTGTTGCCATCGAGCTAGCCAGGCCCCGAGTGAGAGTCAATTCCTCTATTCAAATGAAAAATAACTCCAGAGTACATAGTTGGACCTAGACAGTAAAGAAACCCGCTAGGGTTAGGGTTGCTTGCACAACGACCACAACCACCTTCTACATAATAACCCTAACCCTGGGAAATATCGTACTGTCAGGTAACTAGAGTATGTGCTTACTTCGTGTAAGTACATGTACTCTACATACTCTACATAGTATGTATTAGGTCCCTATCATAGAGAAACAGTAATAGTTTAGGGTCATTTCACTACACATGCAGAGACTCAAGCTGCAAGTTACATATCCCTTCGTGCGTTTTCACGACATGTGGCGATTGGTGGCTCACCATACAAATCGTCGGCTGGCGGTGCAAGATTGACCCACTTGTCACGCAAAATTGCTCTAAAAGGTAGGTGAGTAGACTGTTTTTCATTAAAATTGTGTCTATCACGGCGCCGTCATGGGCCTAATATGTTGTGATTACCGGGAACAGACGAAGGGATTAGAGCGTATTTGCCAACCGTCAATTTCAACTATTGACACTTCAAACTTGACAGTTTCGGGAGGCAAAATTGACAGTTCCCCGCAGTGGCCAAAATCGATCTGGTTAACGGTATGACAGAATAAACCCCGAAAACCAGACAACCCATCATGCTACCTGTGAAGTACGCTGTTAGAACTGAAAATTCATACCCATGATACTAGCTTCGGTAGTAACAAAACTAGGTACTTGTGATCCTCCTGGTATATCTCACAGCACGCCGCCCCACCGAAATTCAAAATTAACAGCCCCGGTTGCCATTTCGGAGCCCCACAATTTGTAAATTCTTGAAATTGACGGTTGGCAAATACGCTCTATTGTCAAGAATGCTACAGTGCTGCGACATTAAAATAATAATAATTATATTCAAGAAACAGACATATTTATCAAAAGATAATATAGAGAATCATCTAGCACTGCTATTACATTATAATAAATATATATTAGAAGAAATATAGTCATTTTGGGGGGGTAGCATTTCTCTTAAGGCGGTTCTACTATGGTAAGTCCTATAATAATTTATCACTACGGTACCAAGAACATCCCTCTTTTTCGCACTGTACTTGTAATCACTGGGAGCAGCTTAAACTTACATATATAGGTAACTTTGTACTATTTTAGTGCAGGAGACCTCTCTTTCTTCGACATTCGAAGAGTTCGAGGCATAACGCAACGATTCTTGTCTTGTAATCTACATAGCCGGGACTTAATGCAGCAGATACTCGATAGTAACGTCTATACATGTATTGTTAGTCAATATCTTATATATTTGTACGGACAAACGGGCCCCATCATGGCGTTCGATATATATAAATTATAAAGAATATGGCTCAATTCTAGATACGGCGGAAGCTTTTATACCTCCTACAATGGTATTCTCCTATAAGGGTACTGAACGTCTCCGGTCCCAAGCATACCCTTATACCACGCTTTCGTTATAGTTGGCATATTTGAAACTTGAATACAGCGAAAGCTTGCTATAACGGTACCTTCTATAAGGGTAATCTCTCTATAACGGTAGCACTTCTCGGTCCTTTTTGCCCGGATTTCAGCACAATCACCTCTTATATAAGGGTAATCTAGATCTCTCTATAACGGTACCAAATTCCGGTCCCGAGCGTACCGTTATAGCAAGCTTTCGCTGTAGCAATATATATATATAAACTTTGAGTGGCAGAGCTGCAGAGCCTCAAGTACATGAATAATTTGCTAAACCGTCTCTCCTTAAGGCCTAGTTTTCGATTTTTATTATACCGATGAGAGTTTAGTTCACACACCTACCTACATGTAGGCTCGTACCCAGTCCTCCTACCAACACCTACTCATTGTATACGTATACAGAATTAACTGAGCTACATAATATATCGACAATAGCGCTACCAGGCGTCGTTCCCGGCCTTGTACTACTCCGCATCAATACACCTGTCGGCCCGGCCTGGTCCAGGCGTCTGTCATACAGTAACTAGGAATTTACGTCATTGCGTCAATATCGATTTAATTATGATTAAATGCATTACAAGCTTCCCCTTCGTTTAATAAATATAGAGCCTAGCCCGAGCAACAAGAGAATTAACAGGTATAGATACGGCCCGCTGCATCACGAAGAAATTTCACATGAATGCACACCACCCAATATACCTACATGTATTTTATGTTAGCATCGTTCAAAGCTTATAATTAAATAAAAAACAGAAGGGTATAATTTACATTGCACAAAGATTGCCCGGGTCGACGGCTGATCGCAATAATTCCTGAACCTGTCCCTCTACTGACAGCGGAACAGTTTCGCCTTGGAAGAGACCTCGGAGTTTGTTCTGAATGTTCTTCAGGACATCCTTAGGCGTCTCGGGAATTTTTATATTTGCTTTTTTCTATAATTGAGTTAGACCCTCAATCAGAATCAAATTCTTTTAAATACCATGCTTACCTTCTTAACCATATCAACGGCTGGATCATGTAGGAAGGTTTCTAGAACTGTCATAAGAGTGTCTTCGTTATTCCTCAATACCCTAACGGTCGTTTCACAAGTTCTCCGGAAGGTGCCTATAAAGGAAACATTGTAAATGCATGTATCTAAAGGGTCTCTTAAAAGTGCATTTTACCTTCATATCCTGTCACTCCCAGTGCATCAACCATGTTGTGTGTGAGACGGAACGGCACTCTTTCTGGTTTCTCAAATCCCAGACCCTGTAGTTACAGTATTCTCTTAGAAAGACCAACTACTTGGATGATGTCAACACTTACCTTGTCAAATAGACAGTTGAAATCAACGTGGAGAGTATCGCCATTAGTTTCATCGAAGAGAATATTCTCTCCGTGACGATCACCGAGTCTATCTCAGTCAGAAAATTGTTCATCAACCAATCAAGTGCCGTCCCATACCCCAATATGTGCCCAACCATCGACATAACCGCTGAGGTCCTCGAGTAACCGACCCTGCTGGCAAACCAAGCAGCTGGCCCTGAAAACATTTCAACAAACCATTCATGGAATACGGGAGGATATCTAAGGTGAATTAATATATTTCATAATTCAAACCCAATGATAATCTATCAGTTTACCTTGGAAGCACGGAATCCGTAAATATATGAGACTTCGAGGGATCTGAGCAGGCTTTATCGAGAAGAACACGAATTTCGGAGTACTAATGTGTATGTCAAATCAATATTCTTAATATTTAAAGAGAGAGAAATGGATTATTCAATTGCTAACCTGCACAATAATTCCCTTTGTTTTATATGATTTCAAAAGGATGTCCCGAAGCGGTCGTACGTTATTAACCCACTCAATAAGACCGCATTCTTCGTTCAAAGGGGTGACCATATATGTTCGAATATCTTGCGATTCATTAGCAAATTGACAGCTCTTAAAAAATCTAAGGCCGCGAATATTATTTCTTACATAAACGCCTGCGACTAGAATCGGTGTCTTTCTTCAAGAAACGGTTTATCATGTTGTTAAATTCCATCAAACGAGCGTCTTTACGTAGATCGTCTTTTGGCTTACACAAAAATGGATACATTTTACCATCAGAGCCACGCATCTTAATTTTTCGAGGCTTTTGTAAAGACGACATGATATCCGCATCGTCGGCGAACCCTGAGAGAATTTTCAGTGATTCGTGCCAAAAACAACTCGCGAGAGCCTCAAAGACACAGCCTTACTGGTAAATAACGGGATGAAGTGTACGTACCTGCAATAGTAGGCGCAGATAGATTAAATGGAACATGGTTTTTTATAGATTCGGGGGTTGGGGGAAGTGTCACTGTGAGAACTGTTTGTAAAGGTACCACAAGCATGCAAGGTGCTACGGAATGATTAAATCCAAGGTCTTTCGTCAAACTGACAGTGACTGCTTTCGAAGGCAGATCAGCGTCACAGAGACGCAGTAACTGATCTGTGAGCTTTTGCGACTGCAATATTAAATTCTTCAACTCATTGTCTGCTTCTCTCCGGCCCTTAGCAACATAATTTTCTTTTATCCTGTTAATTATCCTCGCACCACGACTGGACCTTTCTCTTGATGTTGACTTGCACACCGCTGTAAGTGACCAGAGGGCCTGTCTGGGATGCGTTGAAACAACCTTTACAATGATGTTCTGGAGATGCGTGTAGACCTCTTGGCTAGGATGGACAATTCGAGATATTATTTGGGGAAATGCGGTATAAAACATCCACGCGGGTAGCCTCTCGCTATACTTTTGTACCGAGAGGTGTAGATTGGTCAAATTCTTGAGTCTCTCTCTTAAAATATGACTTCTGAAATCCGCACTTCCGTGAACTTCTTCCAATTCCTGGTTCTCACCTAGATCTAGCCAAAGGGTTAATACTCGAGGCATTGTCTGGAATATATATTTTGTTCCGAATGCAAGAGCACGAAGGTAAGACTGGCAGACTAATCGTGCTGTTTCTCCATTTAAGAAGGGCTGGCTTTGACTGAGTGGCGCAATCCCCTTCTCGGCCTCATGAAGCTTATTATAATGCCGTCCGAGAAAGTAATGGCCTTGCTCCCATCTAACAAAGTATGATGATGCCTTGGTGTATTTCGAGATGATCTCTTTTGAATGAGTTTGGCCTGCCCCATCCAGCCACCTTGCTAACAAAAGAATAGCTTTCGCTGAGACAATATTTTGAGGGTGGTTCTTTCCAGATTGTATAGTCTCAGTGATAGAGTCGTTAGTTTGTATCATGTTTGAAGAAATTGCCCCCTCAAGATTTTGTATAGCTTTCCGATGCTGGCCTTCGTGCCACAATAGTTTTGCATGTTCTACAGTCGCGAGTGGTGCACCGAGTCTTGAGGCATGGAGAACCGAATTGAATGATTGATGTATTTGACCTGCCTTCCTTGCAAAGCGAGCACTAGCGAGCCAAGTCGATGCAATATTGTCCTTAGCTAATTCGGCACTACGGCAATCAGTTTTGTCCAAATGCATTTTAAGGATAGTGTTTTATACCCGGAAAGCTGGAATACAGCCCGACGAAGAGCCAGAATGTATTGCTTATGATTCGAGTAAGTCCCCATCACATCAAGACGCCTCTCTAGATTTGCCGAGAAACTTGCTTTATCAAAGGTTCCTTGCTGTAATGTCAAGCTGATTTCCTCAATCTCTGATAATGAATGAAGTTTGACCATTGAATCATGGCATTGACGTAAAGACCCCGTAAGAGATTCGGACAACCTGCTTACGACATTTTCCCGCGCTCTGGCTATCTCCTTTGCAAATGTATCCGTGTCTTGCTTGCGCAGTGCAGATAAAGCGCTACCTATTTTGATTTCATAAGACGATTCTATCGAGCCCTCAGACCTCATGAGATATTTATCTAACACGTCCCATTTGCCAGAAATCCAGGAGGCTTCTATGGCAAATTCTAGTATCCTTGGGTGGGGATTTGGAGAGTTGGCCATCATGCCGTCAGCCTGGTTTAAAAGCATTTCTAAATGTAGCGTTAGGAAACTGATAAAACGTGCGGATAATAATAAAGCCTACCATGTTGCCCGGACTCTTTCAAGCAGGTTAGAAGATTTGTCTGAATTTCCAAATCATCTGGTTTCTCGCATAAGAGAAGTTCATACCAACTCTGTGCAGCTGTCCATCTTCCAGCCTTCCGATGTTCGAGGATTTGTTGGTCGTGATTGAGAACAGGCAATTTCGTCGAAATGCCCTCGATTCCGTCTGGTTCGTCAATCTGAGTATATATATGCTGTAGCCTCTCATATAAAGGCGTCATCTCATCTTCACGTGTAGTATCTCTTTTCTGGCGAATGTGTTGTTCCCAATAAAAAAGAGCTCTTGCATATGATTGGCATTCAAATGAACGTATACCCATCATGTCTGGAGGTATTACAGAAAGGACTGATTCGACCCGTTCGACAGCAACATCTTTCCCAGTCTCATCTTCTAAAGCAACGTGACGATTTTGTTGCCTTGCTCGTTGAACCTGAAGCGATGAGTTTAATTTTTTCTTATCGCGTAGCCACCTTGTTAAATGGTCTATGAGAAGAAAAACCGTCTATTGACATTAGTTTCCCTTCCAAATTATGATGACTCAAAACAAACCTCGGTGCACTGCTTAAGATTTTCTGAAGCCATAATGCTTTCTGAACCCTCCGTAGGTCGTAGCACGGCCAATATTTCGCTGGCAATGTTTTTCCGATCACTGTCTTCTCCCGCAATGATGACATTCAATGTGACAAATGGTAACAGAAACAGAGATATAGAGATATCTTGGCCCTTTAACATCCGACCGCATGTCGAAAATATACCTTCAGCATTCACACCTCTAGCCTTCGATAACAAATCCATAAGTAATAAATGAAGCCAGCTGCGATGTGTCTTGTTCAGAGAGAAAACTGGGTACGAACAAGATGAAACCTGGGCTTTCTGCTGCAGAATATATTTAGATCCCAGAAACGGCGTCAGAGCACTCCGGGCTGTTGTGCTAAAGGATGCCCATCTTTCAGCTGCGACTATAGACTGAGGAACTCGTGCGCCACGACTGCGACTAACATCAACTCCTACTTCGATAAATCTTAGTAGCTCTTGCATTCCAAATGCGAGGAAAGCCTGGACTTTCGTATCAGTAGCTGAAAGAAATGCCTTTACAACCTTCTCCTCTAGGAAAAAAACAACAAATTCAACACTCTCGTCTGCCTTCTCGAAATTATGTAAGACCATCATATCGCGTATCTCTCGAGTTGTTTCCACACGATTGGGGTCCACGGCTCCTATCAAACCGAGTGATTCGGCACAAAGGCGTTGGATATTCAGCTGAACCTTAGGATTAGAGTTTAAATCCGTGTTTTTGAATGCAACAACAACATCCAAAAGTGTCCTTATTAACTGAGGAACCACCTCGTCAGGCTGTTCATTTATGGCCGCTGTATGTATGAATGCTTGGTTTTCCCTAATGAACCCTGTTAACTCAATCAATGCCTGTTCTACAACAGCCACATTTTCATGGCGACATCGCCGTGAAAGAAGGTCGAAACGTTGTTTTACACCAATGGAACATCTCCATTCTTTAAGTTGTGTTTCAAAATGCGAAGACGATGGTATCAATGCCAAAGAAGGAATCATGCCAACATCTTTTTCGATAGTCCGGGAATATTTATTGAAAAAGTGTGTAATGATTTCTTGAGCTCTCTTCCTTGCATCGTCCTGAAAATCATTCCAGTATTGCAATATCACTGAGAAAGTTTGAACTAGCAATGGACTGATTACTTCTGCGGGTAAGGTCGTTATGATTGCACTCCAAGCATATAAAGCGCTTGTTCGCAATTGTTCGGTTTCCAGTGCTGATTGTAAACAGGCGCATATCTTGACAAATAGAGTTAGAATAGACTTTTAAGACGAAAAAAGCGAATGCTATAAGCAAGGGACTGGATTACCTGCGGTAGTGCGCCACTTATATACCCCCCGGCCAATATAACCATCTCCTCAATCGCTTTTATAATACGAATTTTTTCTACCATCGGGGTAGGAGCTTCTTTTAACAATGTCATGAATTCGGTGAATATTCCGAGAACATTTAATTTGAAAAATTCGTCTAAAGGTGCTTCCTTGCTCTCGGCTGATTTCGTTGTTCGACTAAGCTCAGCTACCAATGCTAGTGCTCTATGTATCTATTTGGACTTAGTTATCTAATTTCTTAAGCCAGAATTTACGTTCAAAAGCACAAACCGGTTCCTTATTCTCTTGGTCTGCATCGCCAGCAGCTTTCAACAGTTCAGTTGCAAGAGTGATTTTCTCAGGTCTTACCAGCTCCCTCAATGAACATGACTTAAAATTCTCTGAGGCATTTATAAGTAGAGCCATTGTCGTTTGTTCGATATCTCCCACGTCTTGGGCAAGAAGAAGAGCAAGAATAAAGGTCATATTTTCATGGCATACAAACCAAGCACTCTTACCACATGCCTGTGCAACCCTTTCAACTATTTCTACCCGTTTCCACAATATCATGTAAGGTAGTGTATATGTTTGAGTGGTCCCCAGGAAGTCGTCTACACTGATCCCCAATATATCTGAAAGGTATCCAGCAATCTGCGGTTTGGACTGTAGCTGTTTAACAACACTTGCGCTGATGCTGCGCCAATATGGTGTGAGTAACTGCTTAGGCGTTACATCATGTATTTCTGCGAGGAATTGGATCTAGCACAGTAAGTATTGAAGATATAAGATAATCGATCAGAAATGGTTACTCTACTTCGTTGTAAGCGACCCCGATTATGAACGAATTCGCATGCCCAAGATACTCTACCAGCCGTATCAGTGAAAAATTTAGCTCCGAGCCTGCCGATACTCTTGGAGAAAATTATCAGCCCAAAACTCTGTTGGATTATGCACGAACCTTACCTCCCTATTTGGCTCCAAGCCAAAACAAAGGTTTCTTGATACTGCAGCTCATCACTCATCGACTTTGCTCGTAAATAACGAAGGACCTCTATCCTATTCTCTTTCAGAAGTCCTTCATCATGACTAAACCCGACAAAGGATGGCAACGTTCGTCTACAGAAAACACTATTAGCTCACACTTATCACAAGAATATATATTGGTAAAGTATACCCAGCGGCAATTCTAATTTCCCTTCTTGAACTCTTCAATGATTCAAAGCAACATTTCCCAAATGCTCCAAATAAGCTTAGATGCTTTAAATTTCTTGTATGATTCAAAATCCGTCTTATACTCATCAAGCCCCATACCCTCACTCTTGAAGAACCCCGGAAGTTGTCCAACTTCTGAAGAATCTCCAAAACTGTGAATAGCACATCATTCCGTTCATCGGCATATGATCTGGCTGCTAAAGATACTCCTGTGGTTTCAGCGTCACAATAGGAGCAATAATAGTGGGTACATTGCAAGTTCCTTTGATCAAGCTCTAGGCCCTCAGTCAGATTGCCGGCCAAGATACAAGAGATGAGCCCAAGAGATTGAACAACAGTGCATTGCTCATTCTCATCGATTTTATTGAAAGCGTCTCCTAACACCACCGCGCTCAACCCCTGTAGACCAGCTACCCCTCGGTATCCCAGAAGACGGAATGTCTCTAATACCAAAGGGTGGGTTTCCACACTGGGCACCTCGTCTTTTATCATGAGCCTAGGACGTTTTCTACGGCCGCTGTTATTGTCTTTCTGCTCCAAAGATTCTGATATCTCAATGGTCCTGAGCCGATCGGCCTCCTCCTGTAATTTTTCGTTTCTAAAAATCCACCCCCCTTCTGTACCTGACTGCAAGAGAGATATCGCTTTTCTTGTAATCTCGGGATCTTTAGAAACATCGAGGACAAGACGTATTACTACCATCTATGAGATAATCAGCCAAGATTTTCTCTATCAGGGGTAAACCACTTAGCAATATACTTGAAGATCGCGATCCAGAATTTCCCATGTTATATCATTATTCATAGCTTTAAATGCCACAGGAAGAGCCTGCTCCCTCAAAAGTTCATCAACCGAGAGCGCATCGCCTGCGACTAATAAGACTCCAAGAAATACACTTGCCAGAACAAGTTCTGTGGGTTGGTTTGCTTGCTCCACCAGTTGGCTCAAAGTCTCACTAGCACACCGTACTATAAGCAGGCATAAATTATCGCATTTTATGCTCCCATATTGCGATCTTGGTATTTGACCCAGGGAACTCCCTAATGCCTCCAAGATATTGATGCGGATTCTAGAAACTTTTGTCTGCAACATCGGAATGGACTCCCAAATTCTCATGCTTTTCCATAGCTTTGAGATGTTTTGCAAGAACCACAAGAAATTGTCTGCGGCAGTTCTTAGTGTAGGAATATCATCGCTAGAAGCAGAAATCCTGGAAAGTACGGCAAAAAGATGAATGGCTACACAAGCTGCGTTTTCTGGATCCTTAATAACAAATCTGAGGGATTGATGCGTCACTGGGGGAGAATTTGTGGGTAGTTGTGATAGATTGATCGAAAAGTCTTCGTCTGGGAGCTCCAGCCTAAAGGAATTGGACATAGCAGCGGTGATTTTCGCGGTGCTATGGAACGAATCGATGATACCTTTATAATTAAAATCCAACATCTCTATCAGCGATCGCTTAAGAAATATAATCACTACCAGGAAAAAGTGTCAAAAAAAAAAGCGTACACGTAACACAGCTCCGACAGTACCCCATCACCGTTGTCAGATATTTCCACGCCTCAGACTCCTTCGCTGCAGCTATAAGGATAGCTTCTATTGTCTGTATTAGTTCTAGCTTTATGTTTTCCGCAACTTTGTGCCCAAGAAGCGGAAACAATCTAGGTAATAACCATAAGAAAAGTATTGGTCGATTCGGTTCGGCGGCATGCTCAACAGATGGTTGGCAAAATAGCACCTGTGGTGATCTTTGAATTGTTAACCTCACCACAAGTAGGCTGTTCGTTGCTTGAAGCAGTAAATCGCTGGTAGAAGCGAAGGGGTCTCCATTTAATAGGACGCTGATTCCAGCTTCCATGACCACTTCCACAACTTTGTAGTTTATCCTCACATTGTCTTCGAGGCTTGCGTCTGAAGGGTCCCCATCTGTTCCCATTACTTCCGCCAGCAACTGCTGAAATGTGTCGCGATCAACCATTCGAGAGGAACCACTTCCATTTTTTGATAAATTTTGGACAATAACTGCGACAGAAGAGGGTGGAGGCTGATCTCCATATTGAGAGCCTGAGAATTGCAGAGGTGGTGGCGGCATAGAGCCAGTCACCGCAGCCAATGTTTTTCTCCTAACAGACATTGACAGACACAGATTTTCCTCAACGCAGGACTTGATGGATGATGATGAGGAGAGAGAGACGGCGAAAACGTGGTGATACTGGGAAGACGCGTGCAACTAGGATGACGAGAAGGGTTAGGGTTTCTCTTCTTATCAGCCTTATCAGAGGTTATCCACTCTCCACGTGACTCTTCCAATATCGAGTGACCAATTGTGATAAGAATCCCTCTAGCTAAATAAAAATAACTCGTTCTACAATTTTTAGTCTGACTTTTATCACATCATTGTATACTACATGTACTTAGTGTACAGCGATAAGTAATAAGTGATGGAACGCCCTGAGATACAGTTATACCTGCAAACACCGTATATTGGTGGCGTTTTACCCAAAACAGGTATCACTGTGTCTCAGCCCGTTCCATCATTATTACCTACCGCTGTACATAGTTTGGGGAGTGAATTTAATCCATACATAATGATTTTAAAGCACCCAGAAGTATGTAAATATATACCATACTAGTGAGGAGCGGCCTCCGGCCGCATATAAAATCAACCATCAGCGCGAGGAACCGTCGAAAACTGAAAGAGAATATATAAAGATCCAGGAAACTCACAGTCCTGTTCAATGGCTCGGATAAACATACAGTTCGGTGTAATGATGTGAAATAAACACCGATCCCTCGCACGCAGTCGGGGCCACCTACCGCTACGCGGCATACTAAGCCCCTCCTTGCTCACGTAAGGTTGTAGTTTTGGAAGAGCAGAAATAGTGATGGGAGGCATGAAGGTCAATAATCTTGGTCAGAAGGCTATTATATATCATGACAGTAGTGCTTGAGGTATGTTTGCCATTTAAAATGAATGTTTGAAAAACATGCATGTCGTCTCCCTTAATGAACCCAATTCTTTGTCTATTGACAGCCGTAACTCGCCAGACTACAGAAATCGGAGGAAGCTAAACATCCAATAGAAACCTTTCGTGATGACAGAGATACCTGACTATTCTATTTTTTATATATATATTTATATTTAGACATGTAGTTGTATGCAGGTACATGTATATGTAGTCTCGTACCCTTCCCCTATGGAAAGCTTGCTGTTAACAGTAAGATACATGTATACAAGGGCATGATATACCATAGTCAACTAGGGGCCGTTGTATGTTGCCAATCAAGCATGAACTTTCAAAAATACGTTTCCGAACATTGGCCAGTCAAGCAGAATATTTCGGATTCATGGCCTGTCCCAAGCAGCCTCAGCCAGAGTTTACTTTAAATGAACCTATCCTATATGTAGCTACATGTAGCTGATTAAGGTGTAGCCATGTAGGTATCGGAATTATTAACACCCTTGTATCCATATATTAGCTTTCTTCCATGTAAATGTCTCGGCCCTCCATTTAGAGGACCGACCTTCTACTCGTAGCTACCTAAGACCCTTAAAAAAGAAAAAAGGGAAACAAAAGAGATGAGCTCCATTCAAATCTTGGCAGGAGATTTGTTAGGCTCGTAGTATAGTCTAATGCATACAGTACATGTATTCTTCTAACTTAATTATTTCACCCATTTGGGGAGTAATGTAGGATTGAATGAAGTGGGGTTGAATGCAGTGGGATTGAAGAGCATGCGTGTACATGCTAAGTACACATTAAATATTATTGACCTCAAGTTTGGGTAACAAAGGCATTAATTTCGTTAAGGAATTGGTATATTAGAACAAAGAACCGTGAGACACCAGGTGTAATCATGCATTACTCTTGCATGCACATTTCTAAAGAAGAAGAAAAAGTACGCACTCTCTAAATCTTGGTGCCACCGAGGATATCCGCAAGTTCATCAACGACAGCATCCTTTCTCTGGGGCACTTTCTTCTGCTCTTCATCTTCCGCATCCTTAACAATATCCTCTTTCTCATCGTCTTCCTCCTCATCTTCACCTTCATCCTCATCCTCGTCTGATTCTTCTTCTAGCTCGTCGAGCTCATCTAGCTCTCCAAATCCTCTATTCTCGAAGATTTCCCTCAGCGCACTAATAGCGGCATCATCCTCTGAGAACTTATTGCCATTAAGCTCCATGAGTCTCAGCGCGGGAAGTGACTGCTTAACAGCACGTTCGAGCGCTTCAACACCCTTGGCGTCAATTTCGTTGAACTGCAGCCTTAATGTTTTGATCGCCTTGTTCTTTCCCTGGCCCAAAGCTTCAGCCAGTATAGCTCCCCCCCGCGCGCCCAACAAACAATCACCGACAGCCAACTCCACCATATCTGACCAACCAGTTACAACTGTGGCCAAGGCAGTAGCACCATAGGATGTGAATGTGTTATCCTGTAAGTCGACTGTCTCAAGCCCGGCACATTTTGAGAGTCCATCTCTCAATAGCTTGTCGATTCCCTCTTGCCTGATACCGTTTTGTACCATCTTTACTGTTCTAAGTGTCTTATGCGCAGCAAACGCAGCAGCCCATGCATCCATGGACCCGTTTTCAAGTCTGTTACGACCACAAACAATTGTTTCGAGTGGGGGGAATGAAGAGTTTGTAGCTTTGAGAGAGGCAAGGTCCCTGATGGCATTAGCGACTATGGTACCGCCAGCAGGACCGAGCCCGTTGTTATTCAACAAAAGATGGCGCAGGGGCCCTGCTTTAGAGTAGAAATCGCGCAGTGGTTCAGCCAGACGGCCGCCGAAGGCGTTGTCGGATAGATCTACAGTGTGGAGATGCGGCAGGTCTAGGAGAGGGGTGAGGAGGGCGGTGAGAGCATCTGGGATCTCGGAAATAAGGCGACCAGTAAAGATATCATCTGCTTTGAATACCTGGGGAAGTTAGAGTGGTTAATGATAATAAGAGAGCATATGAGATAGACCTTGAGATTTCTGTTTGACTTGAGAATTTCACCAAGAGCTCTGCAGGCTTCGATTCCAAGGGTGTTTCCGCCGAGTCTTATCTCTTCCACAGTAGTGTTTCCTTTAAGAGACAAAATGTAGGGTTCGACGTCGATCTAAAGGCGGTTTAAGAGAACTATTAGTTCATCAATCCATGTATTTCAAATTTCCGCCCAGGTTCTCTTCGAAATCTTGCTTCAATAAAGGAAGGTAACTGACTGCGGTGTCAAGCTTAAGTGGCTTGCCATCTTTGGACTTGAGAATGAATATCTTGTCACTCATATCGATATATCTTCGGTTTAATCTCTTTCCTGTAGTTAAGTGGCTAGGGCAGTGGCGTTTGCTTGTTTACGAGACGTTCAAAGGGAAAAAGGGGTTTATTAACGGTGGGGTACGTATTTTTCTAGGTGGGGTTTTTTTCCCACGTGCTCACGATTATTGCCCCCTTCCAATTACCCGGTCGGGTGCCAAGAACTGAGGCTTAAAATCTTTAATTTCACTTCCTAGGCTTTTCAGGGTTCATATCCAGCTCCATTTGATGACCTTTTATAGGCACCTATGTCATCACTCGTTGCAAGGGACGGTTTTTGGTGTCTGTTTCCGGGTTCTTATTATCTGGAACGATCTCCGGAGGGCCGAAGATTCCCAAAGTTTGTTAACGGCACACAGCATACGGCAGTTACCGGTGTTTGGAGGTCCTCACATCTCGGGCCCAGGTGAGAAACCAACAAAGGTTTTTGGGCGACCTGAGCTATCTCTCGGTCCCTTTACATATCTCTTCTTGAATTCGGAAGATTTTCAAACCATTATGTACGGTGGGCGACAAGTGTTTGGTTGGTCGGGGAAGCCTGTAGATACACGGATGTCCGTCATCCACTGTCGGCAATTCGATGTTACCCCTTGCGAGGGCCTTGGCTACCAAATATGATCCCGACGCCGTGTAACTCCCTCAAACCGCGTGTCCGGCCATGGTAGAACAAGCACCAGTGCCTGCAGAGCTCGTACTACATGTACATGTAGTTTCACAAATAACTGCGTGAATAAATAAAACTCAGTATCGATATATCATACAGTGGCATGGCCTTCATTGACGACAATTTGCAATTACTCCCTAAAGCTTCAGTCCGAACCTAGCGTCGGAACTCGACCCTGTAAGGCTAGTCAAAAACTAATCCCAATCATGTCCCTTGCAGCAATCATCCGGGGACACGGCCATGAATAGATCTTACATACTGCTGGTGTCTCGTACGAGTAATATACTCCGTAAGTGCTATAACAGTCGACTAATGATGTGGTTGACCATGATCACAGGAAGTTCTTTTAAACGGGACGAGGAACATTAGGATCGAGGCAGGAGGATATCTAGAGGTTTACGTGCGTACATCGATGCAGGCACCGCCGACCAACCAATCAAATACAGGAGCAGCGATATTCTGAGCATACAATAGAGTACATGTAGCACATGAGGTTTTTCCGAAAACCCAACTCCATAATATCAATACTAAGCATAAGCCACTTTGCTTGCTGCACTGCAAGGCTAGAAGCCGTTAGGTGAGGATCGACGACGTTACGTGTTCTGTGTGTTTGCTTGCTTGCTTGCACATCCAGTCGCTTACTTGCTTACTTCGGCAGGCAGGGGGTTTCAGGGCCTATCGTCGATGATGAGAAGACGCGTGCATGCTTGTGTCACCATTCTATTTTTTGAGAGAGTAAGTGCAAATGCTGGGTGAGCCCAGCCAGTCAGTAAGTCAGGTCAAGAGAGAAGAATAAAAACGCGATTTCCCGCCAACGCTTGTTTCTCGTAGTATTGAGTTCAGAGAGAAATTTACCCCTTGTTTTCTGGTTTTGTTTCAAACATTTTTTTCTCTTAGTTTCTACTGTCTGTTGCTGTTGATACCTTTGCTCCGTTCGTCTGCATGATACACAGGCATACGCTCCACATTCTGCATATCCTACATAAGAGCTCCATCTAAGACAATCAGGACGATCCAAGACTCTCTCTGCCTACTACCGAGTAGCCCATCCATCACACAGTACCCGCTTACCCTACATACAACCACCACCACCCCTATCATTCCCCTTAACATCATTCCCCTCCCCCACCCCACCGGTTCCGAATAATAATCCCATTCACAATGGCACCCAATGGAATTCCTCACCTTCAGCTGCCCACACTGGCTCCTCTAGAGCCCCTCACCTCTGGCACTAACCTACCCCACGTCCCCGCTGGAGAGCTGATTCCTACTGAGAATACCACAAGAGACCCAAGGCCTCCACCAACGCCTACGTCTCTCGATGCCTCCCCCACGACGCCACCACAGTCCCCAGGACGCCCTACATCTATGCGTCGTTTTCTCTCCCGCGTCTCCCTAAACTCTTCATACACTCACGAAGACGACGACAAATCTTCCATTCTCTCAGGGCCCCTATCTCCAACGGCATCAGTCATGTCACGCGACAGCAAAAGAAAGGTTTCTGGGGGCAAGAAAGGGTCTTGGTGGAAAAAATCCAAGAAAGAAGATAAAACTCAGAATCTTCCAAGACTTCCACCTGTCGCTGCTGCTGCCGCGACTATGATTGCTGCTCAGGTTGCTGCCCCAGCTCATACCGAAAGCTCCCCAAGTAGCTCTCCTACAAACTTAACTCGTACGAAGACGGTGCAATCCATTGCTCCACCCCCGAGGTTGCCGGACGATCTCTTTGATAGTGGATTCTCGAGCTTGGATAGCGATATGTTCAAGAATTTCAAATAGAACACCAGCGGCGATGATAGGCGGGTACATGGAATGTTGAACCACGAGGAGGATTGAGGGCTTTATTTCCTTGCTTTTTCTCTTTTTTTTCTTTTTTTACATTGTGTCTTTTTCGGACCCCCTCCCTCTCCCCCCTATTTCTTCATAATGGAAAAGGGAGCACAATCAGTACTATCATATGCCCTTATTGAAGTGATTTCAAGGTTGCTCGAATAATTCATATCCAAGATATGGGATAAGGGATGTTTTCGGTTATGTTGCTTTCTCTCTTTCCTATATCTTTTTTTTAAAACAACTTCATTATTGCACTTCTTTTGAAAAGATCTATTAGCATTTAGGAAAGAAGTTTGCTTCTAGGGGATATTGTGGGAAAATCGTCGGGTACGGCGTTCTCTTGGGGATTAGGCTTAGCTGTGTTTTTTTCTTTCTTTTTCTTCTTTTTATATATTCTTATCGGGTATGGTATGGAAGGGTAGTATTTTTCTTTTTCTTTTACTTTTGTAAGCACCTAATTATCTTTTGCTGCCTTGTATCACGGAGCTGATTTCCCTGAATTAGCTTCTGTTCTTTGTTTTATGATGAAGCATTGTGTTTCCTTTTTACAGTTATTTGTTGTGCTCCTTTCCTAAGCTGCGTATCTACTTTCAGTTTTATACCATACAAATGTTCCCCACCCTTCATTAATCATTTGACTCAAATTAGGTTTGCAATGGCCTATCTGTTTGCATCGCTTTATCTTCTATGGTCCGCACCCTCATTTACCTCTATTTAACCAATCGGAGCACAAGATGATACAAGGGCTATTCTTTTTTCCACTATCGTCTTTGAGCTTAAACGGCATCGTGATGATGTTTTTATGTCCGTGAGCCAAGTTGGATTATAGTGGGCGGGGTATTTTATGGGTTGGGGTGTAGTGTAATTCAGATATGACGCCTCGAGATATTTGCGGAGAAGCAGGGTATATATATTCAATGAAAGATGCTAGAATGATCATTTCCATTGATAACCTAGGTGCATGCAGGTGCGGCAAGGATGTTGCCACCGATGCCGCTGTCATGAGAGCTGACGAATCGGGTATTATTGTTCCCGCCTCGTGTGGGGGGCTATTTTCCAGAAAGTTGCATGGATGTGACATTGTCATTTCTAGATCGAACACATTTATAGATCGAATACAAGCGAGGTTTATGGGTACTTCAGAGAAGTGCGGTTGAACTTGGGTGAGGTATTCTTCTGGCGGTCACATAGGTTTAGATGGTTACAGTTAGTTTCCTGCCGTTTTTGATGTGGTAGTACATCCGAGTGATCTGTGGTGATTTCATTAATGTTAATCAACTACATATGTACGTGCTCACGAAGATTTCCAGGGTACGATTTCCCATCAGGCTACATGTATTTACTCCATATGGAGAGACGGTTATGAAATGCAATTAATGAATTAAATAAAAATAAAAAAAGAGACGGTTATGAACCACCTAGCCCAACAATCCCAAGACCCACATGAAAATTTGGTATCTGTATGTCGCGCAGCGCGGGATAAAAACGAAGCGGCGCTACTTGAACTGCAGAACTGGATTGTGCGCATCCATGTCTATTACTATTCTAGCGCAAAAGAGAAGATTTGAAAGGAGGGGGATTCGAACCCCCGCGGGCTAGGCCCATGAGAAACCTCGCTTTTTTAGAAGCAAGAAAGTAGTAATTACTTGAGTCACACACCTTAACCACTCGGTCATCCTTCCTTGCTAGTCTCGATGCAGAATTAACTATAATAGATCATTATTTGCACTAATCATGCCAGGAAATCATTCAAATGGCTTGAAAAACTGAGAGAGAATTACCCGTAAGTGAGATCTAATATTGTTTCGAAACATCAATTCTCCCATAAGAATTTCTGTTATGATCTGTGTCTTGGCCCCCACGAAAAAAACGCCATCTTAAGGAATCGTCAGTCTAGACCCTTTTTGTGTTAGCGCAAGTCGCATCGATAAGCGCAACCAAAATTCCGTTTCGTCCCCTTGCTGCTCGGGAAACAAGCTTTGGGGACTGGGTTTCCCAAGTTGCCTAATCGAGCATCCTGGGACGCAACGCCAAGGGGATGGTCTTTCTCGTGCTGTTTTTTGCTGGTTGCATACAAGACGGCGGATTGCTTTAGTTTTTTTAATGGCTTGGATAGCGCATCGGATATGGACTCTGATGTCTCGGATGATACTGAGGAATTGGACGGCGAGCTCACTCAACTCGCACCTGGCATGATAATGGAAAGGTACATGTACGTACTCTCTTGGTTTGGGAAGATAATTTGACTGATGGAAGACATAGTGAACAAAAGAGGAATAGCAACGGGCTGGAGGGTGGAAGGAAGGAAAGAGGTTCAATGTTTCTAGATTTAGAATCGAAGTTTGCTCTGTCTTATTTACTTCTGTGTTGTATTCTTTGAGGGTCTAGGGGGGCGCTAGCCCCTTCCAGGTATGGAGCGAGGAACGAGCGTCACTTTTAGTATATGGTCTCGCGACGACGGAGTGATGGGATTAGTAACGGAGTGACTCGTGAGAGTGGGAACGGGATGGAATTTACGCCTAGAGGGATGGAGCGTTCCCAGAGTTGGAGGGTTTTATTTTGTTTGTGAGCTATCGATTTGTATTATATTTGAAGCTTTTGCATCAGGTAAATGATACTTATCGTAAACACATTGTTTGAACACCGAATCAACTCGCATCAAAAATCAAAAAAGTACGCAATATATACTTGAAATAATCAGTTATCCCCTCTCGGAAGAAACTACTACATAGCAAGGCTCAAATAGAGCTAGAAAGTAAATACAACTCCTGGTATCCGGAAAACATAGATGCAAGCCTGCCTGTTATTCCCCACTCCGATCGCTCCCAAATGCTAAAAAAGAAAGAAATAAAGAAATAAAGAAATTCAGGCCCAGTCCTTAATGCTAAGAGATGCCCCACACAGGAAAGGCAGAAGGAAATCAGGCTTTTCAGATCCATCAGCTCGTGTGCGCACCATCTGGGGGATGCCAATGATTTAGGAATCAGCTGGCATTCCATTCTCTAATAAATCGTGCAACTCATCCAAACTGCTGACAGTTTCAGCTGGATTTGCAACCCATACAGTAGTTCCGGCCATGCGTGCCTTAAAGTCGTTGTGCCCTGCGCTTAAAAATTGGTCTCCGATGTGTAAGGTTTCGCTCCCCTTGATTTCACCAAAGAATCTCTGGCAACAAAGTACACCCAATCTCTTGTCGCCTATATCGACGAAGACATCGTTACCACCATTGAACGCACAAAACGGTAGTCTCCGCCCAACTTCACTAAGCTCCAATGTCTTTTGAACGGCAAGAACAGCTTCCTCGAGTTGTTCCCGCTCAAACTTGGCACCAGCAACAATTGGAACAATCCCTACAGCGCGTGCTTTACGCAGGACAGTGGCTTTCAGTGACATAGTCGATACCGACTCTAAGAGAGCGGTCTCGGCGATGTCAAGGAGCTTTTGGATATCTTCTTCTGTCCAAAGGCGCATTTCATCGAGTGCCCATACATCACGAGAAACACCTGAGAGAAGAGTATCTGAGGTTGCGTCGAATTTGAATAAGTAAGATGATTCACCACCGAGGATGATAAGGTTTTTACGTTGTTCGTCTGTAAGGAGTGGAGATGTATTGATAGCCTCAAGAAGGCCGTAGAGACGCTCCTTATACCGAGCACTGTCAGTGTAGCCTGCTGCCGTTACAATTCCAATACAGAGACCTTTGGACATGAGGTGGATTATCCGCGGGATCACTGGGTTCTGGGGAGAGAGGCAATGTCCGTCATCATAGAGGGTCACATCTCCGTCGAAAGTGACAAGTCTGAGGGGACCATTTTGGGTGGTAAGCGACATTATTTGTGCCGTGTTGAGAATCAGTCGGATATCATTGAATGACGGTGCTACAAATCTACGGCATGAAATTGCCCGTCGAGAGTCCTGGGCCACGAAGGCAGCTTCAAGAAAGAGTGGAGTGAAAAAGGTTCCGACAGAAGGGACGAGGAAGCGAAGTTTGGAGCGCTCGGGGGTGCCGGCACGTTCATTATTGACTGAAGTAGCATGGGATCAGCAAATGATGGAATTGTAATAAATCAGAAACAACGGTGTATTACTGTGATCATTGATGAGCTCTTCAACATCCTTCATAATTTCCCTGTATCGACGACGGGCCTCAATGGCCATGTTGGGGAGGGACGCATCTCCGGCTACGGCGGTGGGCTGGGAGTGAAGAACAAAGGGGACAGCAAGGAGTCCCTTGATGAATTCGATAAGTGCATCTCGACGGTGAGCCTAGACGTTGAGATTATATATTAGAGCTCTGAATTGAGGTTCAATGAGCTGATTCTGCTGCATCCAGAAATTATGTACCTTGAGAGCGTATTCAACACGGTATCTAGAAGTGAAGGAGTAGAATTAGAATACGAAAGAACCGATTACGAAGTAGCGAGTACGGCAATATGCAGGGTTCTCGCTGCTTACCTAGTTGTCATTCTCGACGCTAGCTATTTGGGTGCTTCTGGATAATGGATAATGGATAAGGGATGATCTCCTTGATGGGTGCAGGAGCTAGGAATGCGATAAAGATGATAGCTTTAGGAGGCTTGAGTTGAATTCTGGGGGGGAGTAGGTCTATGTTAAATACTGTAGCTACGTAGATGGATAGCCTTACTGTACTGGCAGCTCATTGACTGACTGGCGGCGGCAGACAGACAGCTTGCCCAACTTTACTCAGCTCCACCGCGCACCGTGTCCAGCTGCTCAGTAGTTTGGCTGAGAATATGCAGAACCCTGGTCGGTGGTGCGTATGATCTAGTGTTATCATGGTGATTGTGAATGCAGTGCGCAGGTGCGAGCAAATGACAGATGGGCATTTACGATACAGGTTTGGTGCGCAGCAGCACGGCACAGGCCCGAGTTGTTGGAGAGCTGCCCGGGAAACCGACTGGGCCCGCCCGACAACTTGATTCGCGGATCACCGTTGGGCGGAGAGAAGCGTTGCATGATCACGCGGCGACTGGGTCCCACCAGAAAGGTACATCTACTACTCTTTATTTCACGACGTTTCCGGACCGGACTGGGTCTGCATGAGCCCACATGGAGGCGCATGAGCCCGCATATGCACGACATGCCAGTGCTATACTCTAGACTAGAAATTGTAATTATTTCCGCCTCCGTCTGCAATACAAGCTTCTATTCTACGGGGCATCGACATGATATGTCTATTGATTCTTTCAACTGTGTATTCTTTCCACTCATCTTCAATGACAGCCCGGATCCCTGCTGCAGTAAAATTCCAACCTAACTTTACTTTAATACTGTCCTTCATCTCATTCCAGATTGCCTCAATAGGATTCAAATCAGGGGAATTGGCCGGCCATTCTAGCCTATTCAGCCCTGCACGACGCCTAAAGATTGTCTGATATTGGTGTTTATGTGCAGGTGCATTGTCCTCCATTATAATAACATTTGGGTTAGTTGTTTCTTTGGCGAGTAGGGCAAGAGGAAAGAGAAGGGGGTACATAATTCGCTCCCTATAAATATACCAATCGATACCACCCTTCCTATTTTTTTTCCTTTCTAATAATTGGGGCAGAATCCCGGGCTCAATAGGGTTGATAACTTCACGCTCATATTCCGCTTGTAACAATGTAAGGGCTAAGGCTTGCTCACGGGGAGTCTCATATGGCGTTTTGTAGATATCACGGGGACCGTAGACGATAGACTGTGGTGCCAAAGAATACAACCTAGGTAGTGACGTAGACGTGGACGTAGACGTAAAGGTATGCTTTGACTATAGACTATGGGTGGCTCTACCTGGTATGATAAACCGATTGGAGCCCTATGACGTAGTGCGGACAAAGAATAGTATTCGTAGAATAAATACAGAGGTTGCGTAAAGAAGAAAGAGAAGAAGGAAAACAGACAAAAGCACGAAACAACGCCCCCTTATATATCCACCCATAATCCAACGATGACTAATACCTTCACATAACAGAAACCCAAAGAACATAACAGAAGTCTCCATTACAAATCCTAATTCCACTGCACGATACCTCCTTCCTTTATCCCAGTTCATCACCTAGCCGAAATACATAGCTGCCGTTACAGACCACGCCCCCCTCTAAGGCCTACCTCCTGGTAGGCTTAGGCTTTCCTGGATAACGTTCGTGGAATCGTTTGACAATATTAGGTGAATGCTCAAGGTCCGATAGTGGTTGCCAGGAGGCTTCATCATATCCCATATACCGTACCAAATACTCAAATCTTCCTCTTCGTTTCCTCGAATCCAAGATATCTTCAACCTCCCACTCTTCCTGTCCTTCAATTTCAACTGGAGGTGGAGGTAGTTGTTCTTGACCGGGCAAGGGATCATTGGCTGCGGGCGACAATAACGAAACGTGGAATACTGGATGTATTTTCATCGAACGAGGAAGTTCTAATTCATAGGTATAGGGATTGACCATTCGTTTAACGTTATACGGTCCAATACGTTTCCAGTCGAATTTCTTGGAAGGTCGTTTGGTTAGAATATGACGAGTCGATAGGAAAACCTTATCTCCTAAATGATATCGAGGAGCTGGAGTTCGATTCCTATTGGCTGATTCTTCTTGTATCCTTTGCGCTCGAAACATCTCTTCTTTTAGGAAATCTACTATATCCTTCATTTCCCTTGCAATATGATTCGCTTGATCCTCCGCCGTCGTTCGACCATGTTCCAAAGGGCCAAAAGTCATTCTTGGATTTCTTCCTGAATTGGCATAGAATGGGGAGACCTTTGTTGTTTCGGAGGCATGATTGTTTGTTGCAAATTCAGCCATTGGTAACATTCGAGCCCAATCATCCTGTTGATAGGAAACATAGCTTCGGAGGTACTGTTCCATTACGGCATTAATTCTTTCCGTTTGTCCATCTGTTTGAGGGTGGAATGCGGTAGAGAATTTTGATGATATTTCCAATCGATCACAAAGCGACCTCCAGAATTCTGCAACGAACTGTGTTCCTCGATCGGATACAATAGTATCTGGTAATCCGTGTAACTTCCAAACATTATCGATATATAGCCTCGCTACTTCCCTTGAATTTGCCTCTTTAGTCGTCGGTATTAAATGTCGCATCTTGGTTAATCTATCCACCACAACCAAGATTGCATTGTATCCATCACTCTCAGGGAGATCAGTCACAAAATCCATCGAGACATCTGTCCAGGGTCCATTGGGAATCGGCATGGGGTGAAGTACTCCATAAGGTGCATTGTGTGATGCCTTGCTACGGGTGCACACATTGCAATTCCTAATATACTGATCGACAAACTTCCGCATCTGTGGCCAGTAATATTCTCGACTTAGGAGTTCCAGAGTCTTCGCTCTACCCGGATGTCCTGCAGATGGTTTGTCGTGGTATTCTTTTAAAAGCCTTAGTCGAAGGTCATCGTCGTCTGGTACATATAGCATGCCTCGATAAAGCAGCCGACCGTTGTTATCTTCCATACATTCGGCAAGTGAGATTTTGTTTGAGTGGCGTATGCCATTCCGAAGCATATTGAGGACCTTGTTTGGGAAACTATCCACTCGGTAAGCTTTTGAAAATAACTCCTCTACAGTGGACGCTCCTTCAGCGGATTCATTTGACAAAGAACCCGCGAACAAACTTAGCTTAGTATCCAAATTTTTTCGCTTCAGAATCACTTGACTCTGATGCGTCAACCGTTCATCCCCCTCTTTAGGTAGGTCACCTGACCTCCTAGTCAATGCATCTGGTTTTGTTCCTTGTTTTCCTGGCCGAAATTGTATAACGAAATCAAAACGTGAAAGAAATTCGGACCAACGGGCTTGTCGACGATTTAATAATTTTGTTGTCATAAAATACTCAAGATTCCGATGGTCGCTAAGAACTTCAATTGGAAACTGAGCTCCCTCCAGATGATGTCGCCATTCTTCAAAACATCGTATAATTGCTAAAAGTTCTTTGTCATAGATTTCGTAGTTGCATTCTGCGGGAGAATGTTTCTTAGAAAAGAAAGCAACTGGATGTAGGATTCCTTCGTTGTCACGTTGAGATAGAATCCCTGCTGAAACATAGTCGGATGCATCGGTTTCTATTATAATTTTTCGATCCGGATTAAAATGAGCTAGGATTGGTGCCGTTATAAACATCTTTTTCAAAGTTTGAAATGCCTCCTCCCTTTCATCCGTCCATTCGAATTTAACGTTTTTCTTTGTTAAAGCTGTAAGCGGAGCAACGATTTTTGAATATCCTAGAATAAATCGTCGATAGAAATTTGCAAATCCTAGATGTAACGGCAGCCATGTGGTTTGGTTATGCGAGGTGTTGCGGTACGAAGAGGAAGGGTTATGCAGTGTGGTTGGGTTTAGCGAAGCGGGTTTCTATTATGTTCTTTTTGTTTCTGTTATGTGAAGGTATGAGTCAGCATTGGGATAGGGTATGGATATATAAGGGGGGCGTTGTCTCGTGATTCTTTGTTTCTCTTTCTTTCTCTTTTTTCTTTATGCAACCTCTGTTCTTTACAGTTACGAATACTATTTGGTTCGCGCTACGTCATAGGGTTTACCCGGTATACTAGACCAGGTACAACCATCCATAGTCCATAGTCCACAGTCCCCGTTCTTGCCTTAGGTGTACCCTTCGGCCCCATAGTCCATAGTCCACGTTCCCGACTTGGTAGCATACCTCGGCCCCATAGTCCATAGTCCACGAACCTCCTTACCTCTACGTCTTCGCCTCGGTTGTATTCCTTGGCTTCATAGTTCCTACGCCCATAGTCCCCGTTACACTTAGGTTGCATCCTCTACAGCCAACCGATACAACACCACCTTGCTTAGCTCTGGTCGTGACTATGTCCGACACCACTCAGGATACGCTGTTGCAGCGTCTTTTAGAATTTCTGATTACCTATGGTCCCCTCCCAGCCGATATAGACTTCGGCGAAGAACTTACGGAGGCTCATGGTCTTATTGCTGAGTGTTTGGAGGCTCTCACCAAGCCTCTTGAAACCCCCGCGCCACTAGAACCCGTTATTGATACGGCTCAGGAAGAGGTCATTGCCGGCCTCACCACAGAACTAGAAGCAGCCAACGAAAAGGCTGCCGATTTTTGGCAAACCTTGTGCGATAACCAGGAAGATTCTACCGAGATCATCCGAGGTCGCGACGAGGTTATCGTTGCTTTGAAGATTGAGCTGGAGGAATCGAAGGCTGAAGAAGAAGAGCTTCGATTCCGTCTGGCACTACACCAGGAAAGTCTCGCCATTGCCGACGAGAACCTCGCTGATGCTGAAGATGAGATTCTTCACATCACTTCTGTTGCAAAAGCTTGGGAAGTTCAAGCCAATACCACCATTGCTGATCTTCGCTCCCGTGTCTCCGTCTCTGCCGCTAGAGTTAAAACCCAATCTCGCCATGTCTCCAAGCCTCGTTACCTGGGTCCTCGCGCCCAAGATCCCCGTTCCATTAGCAATTGGCGAGAGAGGCCACTTGAAAATGGGTCCCCAAAGCCGGCGTTAAAAGGTCAGCCCCTTTGGTAAAAAATGGCAAACCAAAGGGGCCAGCCCCGCCACCTGTTTCTGTTCTCCCTGCTGCTGCTGTGTCTGAGGATAAGATGTCCGAAGACTCTTTTGTTGTTACCTGTTCGGTCTCTCAGAATCCCGACTCTTTTATTCCCACCTACGCTCTCATTGATACTGGAGCATCAGGATATGCTTTTATCGATGAATCTTTCGTACGTCACAACAATCTTGCAATGACCCCCCTTAGGAAATCTCGCCAGGTAGATGTTATGGATGGAAGACCTATCCAGTCAGGAGAAATCACCCACATTGTCGATGTTTCACTAGATATTCATGGCCACCGAGAAATTGCTTCATGTTTCGTTACAAAGTTGGGACATTATCCGATCGTGATGGGAATACCGTGGATGCGACGGCACGATGTCACCATTCGGCCAAAGGATAATCTACTTGTTTTTGATTCTCGGGACTGTGTTAAACACTGTTCACTCAATGGAACTGCAGTCACTGTCCATGGAATATCGATCCCTCTACCAGAACATCATACTATTGTCGTTTCAGCAGTTGAGAAATCCACCGTCAACGTCAAGCAACTAGTACCAAAGGAGTTCCACCATCGTCTCCATATGTTCCAAGAATATGATGCTTCTGTCCTGCCGCCACATCGACCGTCCCATGATATTGAGATCGTATTGGAGGAAGGTAAACGACCTCCATATGGACCAATATACGGCCTGTCCCAGATTGAATTAAAAGCGCTACGGGAATACCTCGATGAAAATCTACCAAAGGGATTTATCAGAGCTAGTGAATCACCGGCAGGAGCACCTATACTATTCGTAAAGAAAAGTGATGGGACTCTCCGGCTATGTGTGGATTACCGAGGTCTCAATGCGATCACGGTCAAAAATCGGTATCCGTTACCACTGTTAAAGGAAACTTTGGCTAAACTTTCGAAGGCACAGTACTATACCAAGTTGGATCTACGTTGGGGATACAATCAGATCAGGGTAGCGGAGGGAGACGAATGGAAAACAGCATTTAGAACTCGATATGGACATTTCGAGTATACAGTAATGCCGTTCGGATTAGCCAACGCCCCCGCCACCTTTCAACATTGGATTAATGATATTCTACGCCCCTACCTCGACCAATTTGTAACGGCGTATTTGGACGATATCCTGATTTATTCCGAAACTTTATCGGAACACAAGGAACACATTCAAAAGGTTTTGAAGGTACTTGATGAGAATCATGTCCATCTTAAACCTGAGAAGTGTGAGTTTATGGTTCAAGAAACAAAGTATCTTGGTTTGATTCTCACCCCGGATGGGAATCGAATGGATCCGAAGAAAGTTGTCGATGTTTTGGAGTGGTCTACACCAAGGAACCTTCATGATGTTCAAGTATTTTTGGGATTTGCGAATTTCTATCGACGGTTTATTTTAGGATATTCAAGAATTGTTGCTCCGCTTACGGCTTTGACCAAGAAAAATATTAAATTTGAATGGACGGATGAGAGGGAGGAGGCATTCCAGATATTGAAGAAGATGTTTATAACGGCACCCATACTAATGCATTTTGATCCGGATCGGAAAATCGTGGTAGAAACCGATGCATCCGACTATGTTTCTGCTGGAATCCTGTCCCAACGTGACGACGAAGGAATTCTACATCCAGTCGCTTTCTTCTCTAAGAAACATTCCCCTGCGGAATGTAACTATGAGATCTATGACAAAGAACTCCTGGCGATCGTACGATGTTTTGAGGAATGGCGACATCATTTAGAGGGGGCACAATTCCCAATTGAAGTTTTGAGCGATCATCGGAACCTTGAATATTTCATGTCAACAAAGTTATTAAACCGTCGACAAGCCCGTTGGTCGGAATTTCTTTCACGTTTCGATTTCGTTATTCAATTTAGACCAGGGAAACAAGGGGCAAAGCCGGATGCATTGACTAGGAGGTCGGGTGACCTACCTAAGGAGGGGGATGAACGGTTGACGCATCAAAGCCAGGTGGTTTTGAAGCGAAAAAATTTGGATTTAAAGCTAAGTTTGTTCGCGGGTTCTTTTTCAAATGAATCCGCTGAAGGAATGTCCACTGTAGAAGAGTTGTTTTTAAATGCTTACCAAGTTGACAGTTTTCCGAACAAAGTACTCGCGATGCTTCGGAATGGCGTCCGTCACTCGAATAAGATCTCGCTTGCCGAATGTACGGAAGATAACAACGGTCGGCTACTTTACCGTGGTGCACTCTATGTACCAGATGTCAACGACCTTCGGCTAAAACTTCTCAAAGAACACCATGATAAACCATCAGCAGGACATCCTGGTAGAGCAAAGACCCTAGAGCTTTTGAATCGAGAATACTACTGGCCACAAATGCGAAAGTATGTCGACCAGTATGTTAGGAATTGCAATGTGTGTGCCCGTAGTAAGGCACCACGTAATGCGCCTTATGGAGTACTCCGTCCCATGCCAATACCTGAGGGACCGTGGACGGATGTGTCAATGGATTTTGTCACCGATCTCCCCGAAAGCAATGGGTATAATGCGATTCTAGTTGTGGTAGATAGACTAACCAAAATGCGACATCTAATACCAACGACTAAGGAGGCAGACTCGAGGGAAGTAGCGAGGCTATATATCGATAATGTTTGGAAATTACATGGACTCCCTGAAACTATGGTATCTGATCGAGGAACACAATTTGTTGCGGAATTTTGGAGGTCCCTTTGCGATCGTTTGGAAATATCGCCAAAGTTCTCTACAGCGTTTCACCCCCAGACAGATGGACAAACGGAAAGAATCAATGCTGTGATGGAACAATACCTTCGAAGTTATGTTTCTTATCAACAGGACGACTGGGTTCGATGGTTGCCAATGGCCGAGTTTGCAACAAATAACCATGCTTCTGAAACGACGAGAATCTCTCCATTTTACGCCAACTCAGGGAGGAATCCAAGAATGACTTTTGGTCCTTTGGAACATGGTAGAACGACAGCGGAGGATCAGGCCAATAGTATTGCAAGAGAGATGAAGGATATATTGGATTTTTTAAAGGATGAATTATTTCGAGCGCAAAGGATTCAAGAAGAGTCCGCCAATATACGTCGGACTCCAGCACCTCACTATCGTGTGGGGGATAAAGTTTTCTTATCAACGAGCCATGTCCTCACCAAACGACCATCGAAGAAACTCGATTGGAAACGCATTGGACCGTATGTCGTGAAACGGATCGTTAGTCCTTATGCCTATGAGTTGGAACTTCCTCGTTCTATGAAAGTTCATCCCGTATTTCATGTCTCTTTATTGTCGTCTGCAGCAAACGATCCTTTACCAGGACAACAACAGTTACCACCACCGCCGGTCGAAGTTGAAGGACAGGAGGAGTGGGAAGTCGAGGATATTTTGGATTCCAGGGATCGTCGGGGAAGATTTGAATACTTGGTTAAGTATGCCGGTTATGACGAAGCTTCGTGGCAGCCATTGTCGGATGTCGAACATTCGCCCGATATTGTCAAACGATTTCACGAACGATATCCACGGAAGCCTAAGCCTACCAGGAGATAGGCCTTAGAGGGGGGAGTGGTCTGTAACGGCAGCCATGTGGTTTGGTTATGCGAGGTGTTGCGGTACGAAGAGGAAGGGTTATGCAGTGTGGTTGGGTTTAGCGAAGCGGGTTTCTATTATGTTCTTTTTGTTTCTGTTATGTGAAGGTATGAGTCAGCATTGGGATAGGGTATGGATATATAAGGGGGGCGTTGTCTCGTGATTCTTTGTTTCTCTTTCTTTCTCTTTTTTCTTTATGCAACCTCTGTTCTTTACAGTTACGAATACTATTTGGTTCGCGCTACGTCATAGGGTTTACCCGGTATACTAGACCAGGTACAACCATCCATAGTCCATAGTCCACAGTCCCCGTTCTTGCCTTAGGTGTACCCTTCGGCCCCATAGTCCATAGTCCACGTTCCCGACTTGGTAGCATACCTCGGCCCCATAGTCCATAGTCCACGAACCTCCTTACCTCTACGTCTTCGCCTCGGTTGTATTCCTTGGCTTCATAGTTCCTACGCCCATAGTCCCCGTTACACTAGAAATACTTGAACATCACGAAGGTTTGTCGGTGTAGTCCATTCCAAAACATCGACGACTTTCTTTGGGTCCATTCTATTTCCATTCGGAGTAAGTATTAGACCCAGGTATTTTGTTTCTTGAACCATAAATTCACATTTTTCAGGTTTAAGGTGAACATGATTCTCATCAAGTACCTTTAGAACCCTTTGAATATGTTCTTTATGTTCTGATAGGGTCTCGGAATAGATAAGGATATCGTCTAAGTATGCCGTTACGAATTGATCGAGGTAGGGACGTAGAATATCATTGATCCAATGCTGAAACGTGGCAGGGGCATTAGCTAATCCAAATGGCATTACGGTATATTCGAAATGTCCATATCGAGTTCGGAATGCTGTTTTCCATTCATCTCCCTCCGCTATCCTGATTTGATTATATCCCCATCGTAAATCCAATTTAGTATAGTATTGTGCTCTTGACAACTTAGCCAGGGTTTCTTTCAACAATGGTAATGGATATCGATTTTTGATTGTAATCGCATTTAGGCCTCGATAGTCAACACAGAGTCGAAGGGTTCCATCGCTTTTCTTTACGAATAGTATGGGTGCTCCTGCTGGTGATTCACTGGCTCGAATAAATCCTTTGGGTAAATTTTCGTCAAGATATTCTCGTAGTGCTTTTAACTCAATTTGAGATAGGCCATATATGGGTCCATAGGGTGGTCGTTTGCCTTCTTCCAATACTATCTCGATGTCATGGGATGGTCGATGTGGTGGGAGAATTGAAGCATCATATTCTTTGAACATATGAAGACGATGGTGAAATTCCTTCGGTACTAGTTGTTCAATATCGACAGTGGATTTTTCAGTTGCTGAAACGATGACCGTATGGTGTTCTGGTAAGGGAATCGAGATGCCATGAA